CACAGCTCCACCACCCACTCACTGCTTCCTTTCTTCCTGCCTTCACCCAAACTCCTGGTCCTTCCACCGTGTCACCCACTTCTGCCTTCTGTAGGCACTTGCCCAACTCTGGCCCTTCTGACCTTTTGTCCTGGTGGCCTTGCCCCTTGGACCTCCATTCTCCTCCCCGTGGCCTCTGCCCCTGCCGCCACGCCTGCTTCTCCCCTCCGCTGTCTCCCCGTTGTCTATCTTGCTGACTCTTGCACCTCCCACCGGTCCCATCCCCCTCTGCCCCGCTCAGGCTCCTCTTGCCTGGCTCCCAGTGGCCTTTGCCTGCCTCACCCTGGGGCTCCTCTGAACTCCCAGAATGTGTAGGCCCGAAGCACCCCCAGAATGCACCTGCCCCAGTACCCTCAGGGGACAGAGGAGGACACTGAGGCCCGGCGGGTGGGGAGTGACTTACTTATTTCAGGCCAGAGTGAGATAGCGGCCAACCGGGCAGGGCAGAGCACAGAGCTCCTGAACCCCACCCAGCCTCTCTCTTCCCTTGGGCCCTGCCCACCCCAGGCCTGATGCCCCAGGGGGTCTGCCCCCAGCTCCCCCTCACCCACACTCACCCCCCCGGCCCCCGCTGCTTTCCCCTCCCCCGCCGTGCCAGGCCGACCGGCAGGCCCTGACCAACCTGTGCTGTCTTTCCCAACAGTGCCCGAGGCGCCCGTCATAGACACCCAGCGCACCTTTGCCTATGACCAGATCTTCCTGTGCTGGCGGCTGCCGCCCCACTCGCCCCCGGCCTGGCACTACACCGTCGAGTTCCGCCGCACGGACGTGCCTGCCCAGCCCGGCCCCGCACGCTGGCAGCGGCGGGAGGAGGTGAGGGGCACGAGTGCGCTGCTCGAGAACCCCGACACCGGCTCCGTGTACGTGCTGCGCGTCCGCGGCTGCAACAAGGCCGGCTACGGCGAGTACAGCGAGGACGTGCACCTGCACACGCCCCCGGCACCAGGTGAGTGAGTGCACAGCCGGCCCGGGCCTCGCCAGGCCGAGGGTTCCTGTTCCGGATGGCTTCACAGAGCCAGGGGCGGGGTGGGGGCAGGGCTGAGCTCCAGCTGGACCGCCAAGGTTCAAACCCCAGCACCACCTCTGGCCAGCTATGTGTCTTCGGGCCAGTCTTTCAGCCTCTCTGAACTTCAGAGTCCCCTTCCATGGGGATGATACCACCACTCACCTCACAGCGTGGCCGTGAGGATTTTTTTTTTAATTTTCTAGAGAAAAGTGCCAGATAAATTAAAAAAAAAAAAAGATTTAATTATTTATTTGAAAGGCAGAGTTGGTTCACTCCCCAAATGGCCGCAATGGCTGGAGCTGGGCCAATCCAAAGCCTGGGCTGCAGACCACAGGGGAGCCGCACGGCCTGAGTAAGGGGCCCCAGAGGTAGGGGCTAAGCTTAAGGGTATGAGCAGCACAGCGTGGGGGGACGAGGCAGACAGAGATGACAATGGTAGTGTCACAGCAGAGGCTCTCCATAGGCCCCGCCACGGCCAAGGGCTCACGGGAAGCATTGAGTCAGCTGGGGCTGGGACCCTGGTATATGTGTCCACTAAACACTCTCCCTGGGGTCCCTTGCCCATTTTTTCTCCACATGCCCCCCTCCAGTTTCCCACACCCTGTTCCCCAGAGCCCACTGCCTGCTGCTGGTGACCAAACACCTTGGCCACCTTCTCCGTGTTCAGAAACGCCCCCGTGTCGTGCACCAACACCCCACAGTCCTCAGCGCCCGTGTTTGCCCCCGGAGCCCACCCTTCTGTCTCAACCCCCTCCTCCTTCCAGTCCTGCACTTCTTCCTCGATGGCCGCTGGGGTGCAAGCCGAGAGCGGCTGGCCATCAGCAAGGACCAGCGAGCAGTGCGGAGCGTCCCGGGGCTGCCCCTGCTGCTGGCTGCGGAGCGGCTGCTCACCGGCTGCCACCTGAGCGTGGACGTGGTCCTGGGCGACGTGGCAGTGACCCAGGGCCGCAGCTACTGGGCCTGCGCCGTAGATCCGGCCTCCTACTTGGTCAAGGTGGGCGTTGGGCTGGAGAGCAAGCTTCAGGAAAGCTTCCAGGGTGCCTCGGATGTGATCAGCCCCAGGTCAGAGCCCTCTGGAGTGAATGGGGCTGGGGGCCCTGGGTGGGAGCCGGGAGCAGGACAGAAGTGGCAAAGGGGGCGCACACTCGCTGGGGCGGGGCGGAGCGGAGGAGGGGCTGCAGAGGAAGCCAGGCTGGGAGGCCTGTGGCCAGGGCAGAGGTGGACTCAGCCAAAGGGTCTTTGGGGACTGATTTTCCCAGTGTGGTCGGGGAAGGGGTGACAGAGGAGAGCCAGCTCCACGTCCCTCCATCTGATACCCCCGTCCCACCAAGCCTCTGCGCCCCTTCCCCCAAGCAACCCATTCCCAACGTCTTTTCTCCATAACACGGTTTCTCTGCGACACCTCCTTCCCCCACATCCTTCCTCAGCATCCTAAAGTCCTCCCACAAACGTCCCATCCCCACAGCCCTCCTGTCCCCAACATCCTACGTAACAGCATCCCACCACCACCCCATTTCCTCACAATGCCTCCTCCCCAGCTCCAAGTCCCTCCTGGACTCTGTTCTTCCCAATCCCGCATCTCTGTAAAGTTTCTGACTCCAACCACCCCTCCCCTCTCCCCAGGCCCCCTCGCCAGCCGGACCCCACCCCCCGCCCCCCACTCCTCAGCATCACCGCCCCAGCACTGTTTCCCTTGACCCCGTCCTGTCCAGGTGGGTGGGAGCCACGCTTCTCCAGTGTGCTTTAGCAGTTCCTGTCTTCTCCCCACACCCCTCTTGCCGGGTGCCCCTTTCTCCCCAAACCACACCCTCTGCCCCCACACTCCAACCCCTATCTCTTCTCCATGCTCTCTGCTGGTACCCCAGCCCCACCTCTTCAGCCTGCTGCTCCAATATCCCATCATGCCAACCTCTCAGCTCCCTTTACCCCAGCCCCAGTGCCCTGCCAACCCGACGCCCGCTTTTGCAGGTACGACCCAGACAGCGGGCACGACAGCGGGGCCGAGGACGCCGCCGTGGAAGCATCGCCGCCCTTCGCCTTTCTAACCATCGGCATGGGCAAGATCCTGCTGGGGTCCGGAGCGAGCTCCAACGCGGGGCTGACGGGGAGGGACGGCCCAGCAGCCGGCTGCACGGTGCCCCTGCCGCCCCGCCTGGGCATCTGCCTGGACTACGAGCGGGGCCGAGTCTCCTTCCTGGATGCGGTGTCCTTCCGGGGGCTCTTGGAGTGTCCCCTGGACTGCTCAGGGCCTGTGTGCCCGGCCTTCTGCTTCATTGGGGGCGGGGCGGTGCAGCTACAGGAGCCCGTGGGCACTAAGCCTGAGAGGAAGGTCACCATAGGGGGCTTCGCCAAGCTGGACTGATCCTCCCAGGCCCTGGTGCAGGCCTCCTGGCGCCCGGTTACCCCCTCCCCGCGGCAGCTTCTCCCCCAAACTTTCTACCACGTGGCCCCGCCCCTCAACCTGTGTCTGTGTCTTTGCAGGGCTTTCTCTCGACTAAGGGACTCCCCCGTGTCCACCCCCCTGGATGTCCCCCGTTCTCTGACCCACACCTTCCAAGTTCTCCGGCCCATGCCCTGTCCTTGGCATCTCACCCAAGTCATGGAGAGAGCCCCTTCCCCATCCTTGCCCTGCACCCCCAGCTCGAGGGAGGGAGAGTGCCTGGAACACCGGGCCTGACTCAGCTCTGCCCGTTGCCTGCCAAGCTCCTTGCGCCACTGTTATTGACCTGCAGCCTTGAGGCAAGCAGGCACTTTGGCCAGTGTCCAGGAACTCCTTGGAGAGGGGCAGGGGCCCGCCTGTCATTCCGCTTTATTTATTTGGACCCCCATACCTTCCAGCCGCATGCCCCTCACGCCCTATTCCTTCCTGCATGCGTTCGTTACCTGTCCCGCACCCATGCCCATGTGCCAAGTCTCCCTTGGGGACCCAGCTGAAGCCGGGTGTCCCCACTGGGTCGCGCCCGGCAAGGCCTCTGGTGCCTGCTGCTGCCCCCCTGCGGTGGGTTCTGCTAGGCGTGTGCGGAGCAACCGCTGTCACTGTCACGGTTTCTAAACAATAAACTGGGAGGCCAGGCACATCTCTGCCTGCCCTAGGCGTGTGGACCGTTCCTGTTAGCTTCTGCGCTGCGTGTGGCGGTGGAAGGACCCCATGGTGCCCTGCCGTCGGGGCGCGCAGGGGTGTCTGGTGAATATGGCGCCTGAGGCCAGCCCATCCCCAAGCCAGGCCCCCCTGAACCTCCCGTCACACAGGTTCCGAGCCCAGGCCCGAGGCGACCATGGCCGCCAGGGGGCGCAGCGCCCAGCCTGTTGGCGCCTAGCCCTAGACGGGGCGTCCCGGCGGCGCCAGGGTCCTGGGAGAGTATGGTTGGGAGCGCAGGCGCTGTGCCTGGACCCAAAGCGGCCAGGGAGCCAGAACCACTTCCCCATTCCCAGGGTGCCGGGAGCCCACCCCAGAGGCAGCGGCAGGGAATCAACAGGGGGAGGGGGAGGCTGGGGGAGGGCAGGGCCTGGCGCCTGGGCCCGGATCTGACCCAGCCCCCGCTTATCGCAGCCGTGTTGACTCTGCGTGGTTATCGCTGCCCAAGGGTTTACTTCACACCCGGGCAAGCTAAGAATAGAGCTCCTGGGGGCACGGTGCCAGGGGGAGAGGAGGGCGCAGGCAGGCAGGCGGCTGCAGCCGGAGGGAAACCTGGGCCCTAGGTGGAGCCGTCTGCTGTCCCACCAGAGCCCGCCTCGGTTTCGTTTCCTTCTTCCTCCAGCGCCGCCAGGCATGGGCGAGAGGTGACTCCCTGCGCCACCCTGTGCCCCAGTGTCTCCTCTTCCTCCACTTTCACCTCTCAAGCAACATCTGCGCCTCCTTGTCTCCCTCCCCCGCCCCTTCACAGACTCCTTCCAGGCCCCCCTCCTCCCCAGCGCCGCCCCCCTGCCTGCCAAGGATCACAGAAGGAGGCACAGGTCAGCGCAGCAGGAGGCGCGTTTTATTCAGTCCGGATCGGATCGATCCCCATCCAGGATTTCCAAGCCAGTCCTTATGAGAGCCACCCTCCCTCCCCACCCAGGCCTGTCCCCCAGGGGCCGGGACAAGCGTCGCCAGGTGGAGATGATGGAGGGGCTTGCTGGGGCCGGAGGGCCAGCGGTGGGCAGCCCATCTGGACGGCGGCTCCCAGCGCAGAACGGTGCAGGGGCTCTGGAAGGGAGGATTCTGAGGGAGGGGCTGGCACGGCTGGCCCTGGTGAATGACATGTCCCTACAAGTTGGCAGAAGTGGCTGCCACTGCTGGATTCGTGTAAGAAAGGCCGCTACCACCGTTGCCCGCAGATACCTGGGTGGGGGGAAAAAGGGGACCAGGGTGAAGGGTAGAAGCCAGCTCCTAGGACCCCTGGATGGCACTCCAGCCTGGGCTCACTGGTCAGAGGCCTGGCCTGTTCTCAAAGGGTTAATTCGAAGTGCGCACCTGCCGGCCCCACAGGCAGCCAGGTGACTGTAAACAGGGCTGCTCCTCCCTCCTCTCCCCCTCCCTCCCTCCCAGGGCTCTAATCAGCCCCCTTGTCCCTCCCCCCTTCTCCCTCCACTCCGTTCCTTCAGCTCAAGGGGTGTGTGTGTGTATGTGTGTGTGTGTCCACAGGCGCTGGCAAAACTGGAAGAGGAAGGTCCCCAGGAGGCGGAAAATGGGGACAAGGAAAGGAAACTCCTGTCTCCTCCCCCACACTAAGTGGCTCCGCAGTCCCAGGAGGCTGCAGTAATTATTTACCAGGTCCCGTGGAGCAAGGCCAGGAGAAGAGGGAGGGGTCCTTGCTTCCTTGAGCTCCCAAGGAGCCCCTGCACCCACGACCCCCGGCCTTGTGCAATCTGCTCTGGGCGGTTGGGTCGTGAAAGAGGCACGGGTGCTGGCTCTGGCCACTGCAGCAGAAGGGCTCCCTGGGGCGCAGAGCCCCACCCATTTCACCTCTGGGCATCCCAACCAGTACCGCCCTGGTGCCAGTTCAGCCAAGCAGTGACCGTGGGCGGGAAACTGGCATTTGGGAGTTTGGGAATGCTGGTCACCACCTCCCCAGGCCCATTCCCCAGGGTCCCTCAGACCACTCTCACCAGGGTCTACACCTCCTGCCGCCTCTCACCTCTCCCAAGCTCTTTGGGTTTTTCCAAATTCCCTGCCCAGTCAAAAGCCTCAGCTTCCCATCCTCACCTCCTCATATGGGCTCCGTCTGGTGCTGCCAGGGGGCACGTAGCGGCCGTGGGTGTGGTAGGTAGGGTACTCACTCATGGGGTGGTAGGTATCCCGGGTCGGGAAGAGATCCAGCTGCCCGCAGTTCTTGCGACGGCACTGACACACGGCCTGGGGAGGCAGGTTGGTTACCTGGGCCAGGAGGGTCCTTCCACCAGCGGACTCCGGTCAAGGCCAGAGACCAAGCACTCACCAGGGCTATGAAATAGATGATGGCCAGCGCAAGCAGGACACAGACCAGCACGAGCAGGGCGATCCCCCAGCCTGGAACTCCAGACTGGGCAGAGGAGGGAGACAGAACATCACGCACTGAAAGGAAAGAGCCGTGGTCAGGACAGTGTCCCAAAGGAGACAGCCCCATGTCCTCTGCCAGCACCACGGAGAATGGCAGGGGCCCCGCACAGCGCCGGGTGCCGCTGGGGAAGCAGCCTTACCTGTGACTCTTGAAATGTTCAGGTTATACCTGGCTGCTTGCGGTATATTCTGAATAAACTGTGACTGCACCGTGACTTCATTGGTGCTGCCCTCCTGGAAGGCCAGAATCAAGTCCACCACCACGGATCCTGGCCTAGCCATGGGGAGAGAGATGACTGAGCCGCAGGCCCCAGCTCTGGCTCAGCACTGTCCCCAGCCGTGACAACAACCCCCCCCCACACACACACCCCCAGGGTCTGCACACGGAACTGTACCTGAACCTGATACCAGAGAGGCCCAGGAAGTTCTTCTGTCCATAGATCTGTGAAATCTGGGGTGAGAGGGCAGGGAGTCAGGCTTGCTGCAAAGCACCACCCCCCAGCTCCAAAGACTGCTTCAGGGGAGCCAGCAGAAGCCAGGCAGACACCCACCAGTGCCGAAACATTCCTCTGCAGCTCTTGATAGTACTTGCTGCTTGGATCCTCCAGGGAAGAATTGAACTGCAGGTTGGTGATGTAAAAAGACAGGAAGAAGAAAGACAAACCAGCAGACACCTGGGGAGCAGTGCTCTGAGTCGAAGTGGTGACAGGAGAACCCGTGCTGTGGCTGGGGCTGGGAAGGGTGGTGGGAGTGCCAGTGTGGCTGGGAACCGAAGATGGTGTGCTCAGAGTGCCAACTGGCATGGTGGTGGCCAGGGCAGAGGTGACTTCGTGGACGGGGGAGGTGGCTGAGACCGACGTGGGGCTGGTGGCCGGGGCCGAGGTGACTTCATGGACGGGGCTGGTGGCTGAGACCGACGTGGGGCTGGTGGCCGGGGCAGAGGTAACTTCGTGGACGGGGCTGGTGGCTGAGACCGACGTGGGGCTGGTGGTCAGGGCCGAGGTGACTTCATGGACGGGGCTGGTATCTGAGACCGACGTGGGGCTGGTGGCCGGGGCCGAGGTGACTTCGTGAACGGGGGAGGTGGCTGAGACCGACGTGGGGCTGGTGGCCGGGGCAGAGGTGACTTCGTGGACGGGGCTGGTGGCTGAGACCGACGGGCTGGTGGCCGGGGCAGAGGTGACTTCGTGGACAGGGCTGGTGGCTGAGACCGACGGGCTGGTGGCTGGGGCAGAGGTGACTTCGTGGATGGGGGAGGTGGCTGAGACCGACGTGGGGCTGGTGGTCAGGGCTGAGGTGACTTCGTGGACGGGGCTGGTGGCTGAAGCTGAGGTGACTTCGTGGACGGGGCTGGTATCTGAGACTGACGTGGAGCTGGTGGCCGGGGCAGAGGTGACTTCGTGGACGGGGCTGGCGGCTGAGACCGATGGGCTGGTGGCCGGGGCAGAGGTGACTTCGTGGACGGGGCTGGTGGCTGAGACCGACGTGGGGCTGGTGGCGGGGGCAGAGGTGACTTCGTGGACAGGGCTGGTGGCTGAGACCGACGGGCTGGTGGCTGGGGCAGAGGTGACTTCGTGGATGGGGGAGGTGGCTGAGACCGACGTGGGGCTGGTGGTCAGGGCCGAGGTGACTTCGTGGACGGGGCTGGTGGCTGAAGCTGAGGTGACTTCGTGGACGGGGCTGGTATCTGAGACTGACGTGGAGCTGGTGGCTGGGGCAGAGGTAACTTCGTGGACGGGGCTGGTGGCTGAGACTGACGGGCTGGTGGCCGGGGCAGAGGTGACTTCGTGGACAGGGCTGGTGGCTGAGACCGACGGGCTGGTGGCCGGGGCAGAGGTGACTTCGTGGACGGGGGAGGTGGTTGAGACCGATGTGGGGCTGGTGGCAGGGGCAGAGGTGACTTCATGGACAGGGCTGGTGGCCAAGTCTGATGCAGGGCTTGTGGCTGGGGCAGAGGTGACTTCGTGGACGGGACTGGTGGCTGAGACCGACGTGGGGCTGGTGGCCGGGGCAGAGGTGACTTCGTGGACGGGGCTGGTGGCTGGAGACGTGGTGGAACTGACAATCTGGCCTGGAATGGCAGCAGAGCCTGAGCCAGGGCTGAGGGTGGGGAGTGAACCGCCGGTCATGCTTGCAATGCGTCTCTCAGCGGAGCCGGGCCCTGGCCTGCTTTGGAGAGCCAAGGTCTACTTTTCCGCTCTAGCTGGGGACAGAAGCCTTAAGAACCACTGGGTGGGAGGGCAAATCTAGGTGAGGGGAAAATGGAACTTCTGGCAGGAGGACTGGAGCCTGAACAGCAGCCCCAGCCCCAGGCCCGGCCCTTAGCCCTCCTGCTCTCTTTCGGCCTGCACTGCGCCCCACCCCCACCCCCCGCTAGCCTAAATCTCCATTCCTAGGACCCCTCTCCCCCAGGACCTTCACCTGCCCCTACCCTCCGGCATGGGGGGTGGGGGGTGGGGGTGGGAGTGCTTCTTCTCAGCCCATCTTTAGCCCCTCTCCTCCCAGACACAGACGGAGCCGCCCCAGTCTACCATTTCTGGCTCTGGTGGAGCCATCTGCCAGAGAATAAAACCCACAGAGGGCCCGCAAGACCACGAGACCAGGCTGACCCCCTCCCCACCTCACACCCCTCACCTGTAATCCCTGGGAGCAGTAGCAGCAAGAAGAAAGGGGACCGGATGTCCATGCCTGGTGGCATGGCGGTGGTGAGCTGGGTGGGGAGGGGGCAGGACGCACCCAGGCCGGCGCTGCGTGTGAGGTGGAGCGGCACCGGCGCCTGCCGCTTTATACCGGTCCCCCCTCCCGCCCTAGGCACAGCCGGAGCAGGTGACAGGTGATAAAGCCCCGCCCCCTCCTCCCTTCCCTACCTCCTTCTTTTTCCTCTTCCTCCTCCCCAGTCATTCCTGGGTAAGTACGTGGGCTCCAATCACTCAGCCCTCTGACGACCTGTTTGTTTTCCAAGGGGCCTCCCCCTTCCATCAGCCACTCCCTGGCTCTAGGTGGGGGGTGGGGGACAGTCTGGGACTTGGGGCCCTCTGCCTTCTAGTCTTAGCCGGAGGATTGCAGCCAAGGTGAAGAGAGAGCACACAGAAGTGGGCTGCTTCAAGGTCCTGGACAACCAAGCCTGGACGCCCACCCTTAGGGCCCCCACTCCACTTCCCCACGCTCTCTGGGTCCTTGGGAGCCGCACGGGTGCGGGGCCGAGAAGAAACCAGACGGGTTGATAATGAGTGCACCAAGTGGTAGTTTTGGACTCCCTCCCCCCAACACTTCCCGGAATAGCCCCACCCTTCTAACCCCTCCTTGTCCCGTTCCACATGCAGTTCTAGCCTGAAAACCACATTGCCCGCCCGGGCCAGACTTTCCAGTAGCCTGGGTTCCCTCCATGGCATACTGGGGGTGCGGTGTTGGGGGGAGAAATTTCCACTTAAAGACCGACGAAACCTGGGCTCCACCGAATCCTAAGGACCTTTCCAAGCCTTCGCCTGGAGCGGCAGCCCCGCCGGAGGGAGCTCCTGCCCTCTGGCGGTCACCCGTAGCCTCGCGGGGCGGCCTGCACGGCCGAGTGGCGCCCCGATCCGGAGCACTGCGGGTCGGGAGGTGCGGCCTGGGTGAGGGGTAAAGAGACGCCGCGGCGGGGGTGGGGCGCGCGGGACCCCGGCGAGAGGGGTCAGTGCCCGGGCAGAGAGGGAGGAGCGCACTGCGCGCAGCGGCGCCTGGCGGTTTCAAGACAGGGACGCGGAAGCGCATAGGGGCGGTTTGAGGAGGAAATGGAGCTAGGTGGGTGGGGTCCTCAGGTATGTGGAAGGGGCGTCGAAATGTGTGGGAGGGGACGAAGGAATGTGGGAGGGGAGCGGGTCAGGTATGGTAAGGGCAGTTTCGTATTTAGGAGGCAGAAAGTAGGCGGGGCAGCGGAACCGAATTCAGGGGCCCGAAGGATCTTCTGGGGAAGTGGGTGGTATCATTTGGGGCCGGTGGCACGTGGTGAGCAGCAGAATTCTCTGTGAAGGTGCGGGATTGGCAGGACCGGGAGGAACTTTGAAGGGCAGAAGTATTTGGGGGCAGGGAGGTCTTTGGAGCTGCAGCGGCACGTGGTGCTCAGGGCGTGAGCCCGGTGTAGCGGTACCGGGCTGTGGTCCGGGCCAACAGAAGCAGTTCGGGTTGTAGTAGGGAGACAGTCTTCGGCTCCAGCGAATACACACTGGAAAACAGGGCTTTGGAAACACTTGGGTGCGAAGCCAGATTGGAGGGGGATCCTGGACTGGAGGCGGCAAGGGACCCGACGCCCGCGCCCCGCGCCGCTCACTCTCCGAGACGCGCCTTTGTGCGGCGGGCGCGGCGCAGGGCGGAGCGGGGGGCCATACGTCAGCGCCCCCGGCCGGGAAGCCCCCCACCCGCTGCTAGAGAAAGTGCGAGTATCTAGGTGGGCGGCCCCAAACCTCAACTCCTGACGTTACCAGGCAACAGCCATTCAGCCCGGTTGCTGGGAGACGCGTCACCATGGCGACGGCTCCGCGCCGCGCGGTCGGAGTATTTAAAGAGCAAGCGCGCGCAACGCCCCGGCGTCGGAAAGCGGCCTTCCGGGGCACCGCGGTCTCCCTTGCTCCCCGCACCCCTCCCCCTTACCAGCCCCCTTCACCCTTCCGGGCCTTCAGGGAGAACCCAACTTCCCAGTGCACCCCTGGGCCTCTGGCCTGGCCAGCTTCAGACTGTGGGAAGCGGGACCCCGGGCCCCGGGCGGGCGGGAGGGACGGGACGCGGTGCAGTGTTGTTCTTTCCCCCGCCAATATTGCACTCGTCCCGGCCTCCGGCCCCCTCGGCCCCCCGGCCTCCCCCTCTCCCGAGCGGGGCAGCCCCCGCCCTTCTGGCTGTCGATCCCGGCTGATCTAAGACTGGAGTGTCGCCGCTGCCGCCGTGAGTAAGTGGGGCTGGGAGAACTTGGGTGATCTCTCAAGCCAGCACCCCGTCCTGCGCTTAACTCTGTCTGGAGCCTTCTCCACCCTTGCCCCAAACTCAGCCAAACTTTCCATTCTCCTAGCCTTTCTCTGTTACCCACTCAGATTCCTTGCTGTTCGCCACCCAACCCCGGAAAATCCCTAAAATAAGCAATGGCACTGGCTTAGAAAACAACCGGACTTTATGGCAATGGGGGTGTTGTCTTTCCTGGGTTAGTGCCTGAGTAATACCCCGTGATGATTCCCCATGCCCTGACCAGTGGGGTCACTAAGCCCTCTGTGGCTGAATTCCGTGGAGGGCCAGAGGAGGGTTTGTGGGTGCCCCGAGGGGCTGCAGCCTAGACCCCAGGGTCTCCAGGATGGACCCCAAAGCCAAAGGGTCTAAAACCAGGATTCTGAATCCGGTGACACCTCCTCACTCCCTTCCCTGGAGCAGCTGCCTCCGGAATGGCTCAAAGTCCTCGGGCACTGTGTCTGAGGAAGGGGAAACAGGGGAGTTCAGAGGCCGTGTTCTCCAGGGAGGGCACGGGGGTCAGGCTGACGTCGGTCTAGAGCCTCACCGTTGCATCGGTACTGCAGGTTGGACCAAATGATGTTTTCTTGGGAGAAGCAGAATACACCAAGACGCCCCCCTCGCATGGAGGTGTCAATGATCACCCCAGAATCCGCCACTAGCTGGGGACCCTCATAGAGCTTCACCCTGTCCAAGATAGGGGTGTGCATTGGCGCTAGAGTATTGGTGCCCCCCGGGGGGGGTCACCAGGCCCAGGGGTCCTGCTCGTCCCCAGCCCCCCCCCCCCCAGCTCACCAGGCCTGAGAGAGGGAGGGAGGGAGCAGAGGGAGGGAAGGGGTACTTTTCTCAGGCCTGGGGCCCCTAGCTCTTTGTCAGGCCCCTTTTGCATCTCAAAGCACCAGCCGCATTCCTAGCGAGGATTGGGTTGCCATGACGATGAGCACAATGGGCTGGGGGGTGAAGTCACCCGCTTCCCAGGCTCTAGTCCACCCCCCTTTATCCCTGCCCTGGCGCCCCACAGCCCCAGGCACCTTAAAGGGGAACCAACCCAGGTCCCTGGACTCTGGGCTCTAGTGGGTAGAGAGCCGAGTCTCTAAGAAGAACCACATCCCTTCCCCTCCCAGTTAAGCCCACCAACCTGGGACCCTTGGAGGGAAACACAGAGTTGTAGACAAAGTACTGAACTAAGAGGCCTTGTGAAGTCTTGGCCTCTTAGGTTTGCTGCTCTGTAAATGCTGGGCCTGTCTTGGTTAGGCACTTGCATGAGGCGGGCTCTGGGCTCTCCCAGGTCAGGGGCCCCAAGTGACGTGCCACCGCCACAAGATGAGCCTGGGGATGAGGCTCCCGGGGATCTGTAAAATGCATCTAGCCTGGCACCTTCCCTTCACAGAGGGGAACAGAGACTGCAGCACACAGCAGCCTCTGGGTCCTGCGACTGTGGGGAGAAGGGAGATAAAGAGAAAGGGCCACAGCCCCTGCCCGCCCCGGCCCCAGGCAGAGGGGTGATGCCCCTCTCCTCACCGGATGTAGCCGACTTGAGGCCGGTGCAGCAGCTGCCATCGATAGGAAGTCTTGTCGCGCCAGCCCACGTTTCGTGGGTCAGCCCACAGCAGCCGGACCTGGTCAGGGGTGTGGCCTGTGTGCCACAGGGCATTCCGGAGGTGCTCTCCTGGGCCCGACACTGAAGTCACTGCCTGGGGGTCATTGGCAAAGGCAGTGAGTCAGCCACCAGGATGAGTGGGGGTGGGGGGTGTGGCAAGAGATCTGGATGTGCAGGAGGCCGGGGAGAAGGCCCTGAGAGCTGCCCTCCAAGCCAGGTGTCTGGGTAGGAGGGCTCAGGGTCACGCCGGCTGTAGGGTTAAGGGGGAGAGCTGGGGGGGGGGGCTGGGAGGGGCCCAGGGTGGGCAATCTAGGCAGCTAGGTGACCTTGAGCTGCAGCCCTGGCTGAGCCACGGCCCGGAAGGGCGTGGCCTGCCAGTAGGTCTGCTCCGTCTGCTTCCACATGACCACATAGAAACGGCCGCTGTCCTGATAACTGAAGAGAAAGCCTGCGTAGTCGTCGTCAGTCACTGTGTTCACATGGAAGGTGCCTTCAAAGTCCACGCCATTGAAGGCCGTGTAGCCTGAGGAGGGGTGGGGGGAGAGGTTGGAGGCAGCGGGGTGGGGGTGGGGAAGGCCCTACTGCCTTCCCCTCTCACGCCCTGTGCTCCTGGAGGGTTGCTGATATCACAGACTGGATGTCCCGTACATACCAACCGCCAGGCCGGGGTCACTGTTCATGGTCTGAACGATTTCCATGCCCTGGGGGTGTTCAGTAAAGAAAAAGGCCCTGAGCCAGGTGCAGTGACCCCCGCCCAGGCCCCACTCTGTGGTCCGGGCTAACAGCACCCAGCCAGCCCACCGCCCTGCGTACCTGGTTAAGCACGACCCAGTTTGGGTCAATCTGAGCGTCACCCTCAGGATCCAGGACGACGGTCTGGTAGGCACGGAAATCTGTGAGGGTCACCTCTGCACTCTCGGGACACACGTCGAGGGGGTCGACCACCGCATCGTTGTCAAAGTCGTCCTCACACACGTCGCCGACGCCGTTGCCTGGGTGGAGTGAGGCCGGGCGCTCAGGAAGGCCCTGGCCCTGCCACAGCAGGCCCTCCCGCCTCCTGCTCCTGGTCCCCCACCCTGAAGGGCCAGCAGCCTCCCCTGAGCAGAGCCCTAGCGGGCCAGCGCCCCCCACCCCGGTACCCAGCCTCACCATCTGAGTCCTTCTGATTGGGATTGGGCACCAGCCGACAGTTATCGGGACCCGGAGGCACGTAATCTGGGATGCCGTCATTGTCGTCGTCCCCGTCACACTCGTCTCCTAGTCCGTCGTTGTCCGAGTCGAGCTGGGAGCTATTTGGCAGCCGTGGGCAGTTGTCCTTGGTGTCCTGATGCCCGTCGCCGTCGCTGCTCGGGACAAGGGGCATCAGGTAAAGCCTCCAAAGGCAGCCCCCGCCCCCTACAACCTGTGCCTTTGCTTAGGGGTCTGTGGCGTCTCCCCTCTTTCCACCCGACCCCGCGCAGTCAGGACAGAAGGTGCGAGTGACTTCCTGCCCGACGGGGGGTGGAGAATGAAGGCTAAATCCTGAGGAGGGTTGAAGACGCCCTTCCCTCTCGGCCCGGACCCCACCTGTCTTCATTGGTGTCACACACATCGCCCACCAGGTCGCTGTCTGCATCTGTCTGAGAGAGGGGGGCCTGTTTTCACCAACTCCCCTTGGTAGCTCTGCAGGGGGTGGCCCACTTCCCACCCACAGGGCTGGGACTTCACCCGCACACTTCCCCACCCCCGCCTGCCCTGGTCGCGCCCTGTACCTGGGTGGGGTTGCTCATCTCGGGGCAGCTGTCACAAGCGTCTCCCACCCCATCCTCATCCCTGTCTGTCTGTAGTGGGTTGGGTACTTTAGGGCAATTGTCCAGTCCGTTGGGGATGCCTTGAAGAGATGGGGGTGGCACGCAGTCATCATTAGAATGTGCTGCGCCTTCTTCTGGACCCCTGAAGGCCCCATGTTTCGCTCCCCCCTGGTCCAGGGGACAACTGTGCCTGGTCTCACCCTGTAGACCCACACCCTGCCTCACATTTGCACTCACACCTGCTGCAGGTACCCCCTCCCCCACCCCGGCCCCTGGGCCAGCCCCCACAGACAAACCTCCCACCTCCCTGCCTCACTTCCTGCCCCATGTGCAGATTCTCCCACGTCTCCCAGCCACCCCCTCAGCCCCAGGCCTGCACCGTCCCCATCCACGTCGTTGTCACAGGCGTCTCCTTCTCCGTTGCCATCTGTGTCCTTCTGGTCATTGTTGGGAACGTTGGGACAGTTGTCACAGGCATCACCAAATGAATCTGTGTCCGAGTTCTGCTGGTCCTTGTTGGGGAACAGCCGGCAGTTGTCCTGGGCAAAGCAGTGAGGGTCAGGTCTCCCCTGAATCACTGGCCATCTCACGCCAGCCATGTCCCCGGGTCCTTGTCTAAGATCACCGCCCCTGTGATGGTCCACCTGTTTGGCACAGTCCCACTCCTCCCTCAAACCTCCATGTAGTCCGCCTTGTCCTGGGCACCAGGTTATGGCTCCCTGTAGAGCTGCCAGGGGCCGAGGAGAGGCAGGACCATGGGGTGAGGGGATAAACACCAAGAGAGCAGAGGAACTAGCGAGGGAAGGGCAGTGCAGTCGGGGAGCCACCTCGACATTCTTGATCCCGTCCCCGTCAGCGTCTTCATCGCACTGGTCCCCCACACCGTCGTTGTCAGCATCTTCCTGCCCGGAGTTGGGTGTCAAGAGGCAGTTGTCCTGAAGTTGGGGGGGGGTAGGTGGATGAGTACCAGCCTGGCCCAGCCTGGGGCTCCCCACCACACTCACCCACTGCTCCTGCACCTGCTTGCAGTGTTTGTTGTTGTCCATGCAGGGCAGGGCCTGGTCCGGATAGCCGTCTATGTCTGTGTCGGGGCCGCACACGTTCCCGTTCCCTGCCCAGCCCACATTGCACTGGGCCAACACAAAAAGGCATGGGTTGGCAGCTTGAGCCAGCACCCCGGGCCCCACTGCATCCCCTGCCCCAGGCTCTACCTTCCCCACCCGCCACTTCCTGGGCCCAGGTGCACCTTTGTTCCCATAAATCCCCCCACCCCATCCCTACTGCTCTCCCAAGATTCTCCCTTTTCCTACCGAGCTGCTGGCCTCGCTCACCTGGCAGGACACTGCACCATTGCGTTCAAAGAGACAGTGAGCATGGACGTGACAGGGGCTGTGGGCTGGGCTGTGGCACGTCCGCGCGGGCAGGCAGCCATGGCTCTGGTTGCCCAGGAAACCCAGGCGGCAGGGACCACACTTGAAGGAGCCCTAAGAATTGGGAAGCAAGGTGAGCCCACCAGGCATCAGGGCCAGGCCTGCTGCACCTGCAGGGCACCTGTGGGGTGGAGGATGGGCACTCCCAGCCATGCCAGGGTTATCAGTGTCTCATGACAACCACACTTTCCAAACAAGGAAGTGAGGCTCAAAAAAAGTTAAAGAACTTCCTAGAGGTCACAGCTGGTAAGAAGCAGAAGCCAGAGTTCCAAAGCAGGTCAGGTAAACAGCTCATCTAAAGTGCTGGGGAAGGAGGAAGGGCGCCCGGCTCACCACAGTGTTGGTACAGATGGAGTTGGGGTCACAGCCGCCATTGTTGCCATCATTGCATTCATCAATGTCGTTGCAGACCTGGAGGGGCAGACTTGGGGTAGAACCAGACCCGAGCTGGGGCCCCGTGCATGCAGGAGAGGTCACTGCTGGGGTCTCAGGCCAGGAACGTTGATCGTAAGCCCCAACCCAAGCTGATGCACCGCCAGCCACATCCCAGTTACCTCAAGGCTCCCATGCCCAACCCAGAAGCACCTGGCTGCTACGAGAAGCCAGGACCCCTAGGCCCGATGCACTGCCCAACCTGACCTGCTTGCTGGCCCGGGCGTAGTCGATGCCCACACCGGACACCCGTGTGCCCTTGTACCCTCGAGGACAGGCCTCACAGTGGAAGCCGGGCATGGTGTTGACACAGCGGGAACCCGGGAAGCAGGGGTCAGCGTGAGCACACTGGGGACCAGAAGAGAAGGCGGAAGTCAGGCCTCTTCCTGGGATCCTATGGCCACCCCGACCCAGCACACTCCAGGCTAGCGACTCACTTCCCCAGCTCCCTCCAGCCTGCCTGGACATCTGGAGCCACACTTTTTTTTTTTTTTTTTTTTGACAGGCAGAGTGGACAGTGAGAGAGACAGAGAGAAAGGTCTTCCTTTTGCCGTTGGTTCACCCTTCAATGGCCGCCATGGCTGGCACACCGCGCTGATCTGATGGCAGGAGCCAGGTACTTATCCTGGTCTCCCATGGGGTGCAGGGCCCAAGCACTTGGGCCATCCACTGCACTCCCTGGCCACAGCAGAGAGCTGGCCTGGAAGAGGGGCAACCGGGACAGAATCCGGCGCCCCGACCAGGACTAGACCCGGTGTGCTGGTGCCGCAAGGCAGAGGATTAGCCTAGTGAGCCGCGGCGCCGGCATCTGGAGCCACACTTCTTTGCTGGACTCTGCCCTGTCCCTGACCCTGGACTCCTGCTTCCCAACACTGCCCCCGCCCTTGTGGGCCTCCCCCCAGCCTTCTCTTCTGCACACAGTGGCTTCTGCTGCCCCCACCTCATTGATGTCGGTGCAGTGGGTGCCGTTGCCCTGCAGGCCCGGGGGGCAGGGCCCACAGCGGTAGCCAGGGTACTCATACACTTCCATGCAGTCCACGCCTCGGAAGCACGGGTTGGGGCTGCAGTGGGAACGCTGTTCGTGGAAGCCTGGGGGGTGGGCACAGTCAGAGCCACCCAGGAGTCACCGTTTGAATCACCAGAAGCAGAGGCTGAAGCCACAGGGTGGGGAGCACGGTGGTGCCGTCTGGAGCCCGCCCTGCTCTCCCACTCACCGCACACCTGACACTCCATGATGGTGTTTCGGATCAGGGACATCTCCTTCACCTGGCAGGCAGAGGGCAGGGAGGAGTCAGCTGGTACCCACCACACACACACCCCGCCCCCGGAATCAGCCCCGCCCTCCCCTGGCCCATGCACACCTGGTCTCGGATGTCATCCCGCAGCTCCACCAGGATCTGGTTGAAGAGGGTGAGCTGGGTGACCAGCGCTTTGGTTTGCTCCCCTGTCAGGGCCCAGGGTCGGGGAGAGGCTCAGAACCAGGGGGTCAGCACCGGCCCCTCCCTGGGCATTAGGCTGGCACTAACTGAAGAGGACCTGGTTTCAGGCCGCTGCTGACACCTGGGGCCTGCTCCGCCCCCTCACCCCTTCCACCTTGAGGCCAACTTACCTAGAATGGAGTGCAGGGCGTTGGCCACTAGAGAGGACAAGAAAACAGGGTGGGCTGGTGAGGAGGAGGTTGGGATGGGGGGCTGGAGCCTCAATGAATGGGGTTTTGTTGGGGGGGCACAGGTGATGGACAAGCAGCACGAGGTGAGGGACCCTCTAAGGGGGTCGCCCCACAGGAGATCAAAACTTAGTCCCAGTTCCCTGGCAGTGGCAGAAGGCCCAAATGAAAGGCCACCAAAAACAAAGCCAAGGCTTCCCTTCAAAGGTCTCTGTTCCTTGAAGTATGTAGAAGTATCTTCTGTGGACAGGGAGCTCCGAGCATCCTCAGAGAGAAAACCAAGGGGAGAGAAAAGACCCGAGACCAAGCCATGATCTCCTTGCCCCCTCCCCCGAGGTCCTCAGTTTCATTCCTCTGTGGACTGTTCCCATTCTCTAGCCACCCTGGCGGGCAGGATAACCTGAATGGGGAGATTCTTCCTGACCCACATCTGCTGGGATAGCTACGCTGGAGATCACAGAGGCAGAGGCACAGGGTCCAGGGTGACCGGGCAGGAAGCCGTCAGGAACAGGCAGACCGAAGCACTGGGTGTTGCAGGGGGAGGGGAGGCCAGAGGCTAGGAGTCACCAAAGACCACCGTGTCAGCTAACAGAAGACTCACGTTACCTGCACTGTGGATGGACTCGTCCCCTTGGAATGGACATTCGCTCAGGGCACCTACCCGGGCCATGGAACCGCCCAGGATAAGTTTCATAGACTCCACGAAGCCCTAGGGGGAGGGGGAGAGCGGCAAAGGTGGGGCTCTCCCCTGCTGGTGCCAACTCTGCCTCCCCAGACGCTCCGGGGGCTTCCTACTCACCTGCATCCTTAGATAAGCCTTCTGTCCAGTCCTAATCTCCAGCCCACTGACCTCCGCGGGGGGGATGGGAGCCAGTGCTGGAAGACCAGCGTGTTGGTCTCCCAGTCTGCAGTCCACATAGAGCTGCAGGCCAGGACTGGGTCGGGACGGACCTCGGAGACGCAGGAGAGCTGTGTGCGTGCGCCCGTCGGCCAGGCCTGCTTGCTGTAGGTTCACTGCGTGGACCTTGCCATCCTCACGCTGGTACCGCACCAGCACTGCCCAGGAGGGGAGGTCAGTATGGGCCCTGCCCCCCACCCCGTCTCCCAGTGAGCCTTGGATCCACTCTTCTGGATACCACGTCCCTAAGGGTCGCTGCCCCCGATTGAGCTTTGGGCCCCTCAGCACCTCACACAATAGGTACAACCAGTGGTTCTCCGGCTGCTTTACAGACTAGGGCTTTGGCAGGCTTCAGTGGCACCAGAGCACTCCATCCTCTCCTAGGTGGCAGTGGGTTCTGTGCCCACCACACTGTCCCAGGGACGAGCTTCACCCTCCCTCCAGGCATCCCCCAGGGACAACCTCTCATCCCTGCAGATGGCAACCTCACCCTATCTTGGGGGGGGGGGGCACCAGGCCTCCTGAGATGCCCCGTGGTGCTTGGGCACAGCCAGATGGGGTCATGGTCCCTAGCGGGAGCCAAGGAAAACAAGAGGCACCTAGGAGGGGGGCTGAGGGGACGTGCTCAAGGGGGCACCGCTGCGGGACAGGAGTTGCCCACCAGTCACCTTTGTTAATCTTGCCCACGACAGAGGCCTCCAGCCATCGTGTGTTGTCTTGGCGAGAGTAGAGGCCAAAGAGGACGCCACCCTGCTTGGGGGGCAGGCGGAAGGTGGACAAGAGGTAGATGTCCCCAGCAGTGAGTAGGGCTGTCCGGATCTTCTCTGCCACAGCCACCATCTGCCGGGACTCGCCCACAGTCAGCAGGTCGATCACTGGCCAGGCAGAGGTTATCAAAGTCAGAGAAAGGGGTTGAAAGCTAAGGCCTGCTGTCCCGATGCACCCTTAGGGGCGGGGCATTCCTAATCACCCCCACCCCCAGGCAGTGGTAGTCTCCACCTCCGGAGGACACATATGTGTCCCTGGATTTACCTCATTACTGCCTCTGCTATACCACTCGGAACCTGCAGGTCTGAGGCTCACTTGGACACACAGAAACAGCACCCCCACAAACTCAAGATGCCCCCACCAGGTGGCGCAAGGGAGATGCTGTGCTGATCCCAGGCAGGAGTGGCACCTGGTGCCCGCGGGTAGAAGTGGGAGGCAACGTCTCTTTCCACCGCTGGGTTTGGCTCCTACACCCTAGTGCCCATCCTCCCCCACTGGGGGCTCAGCACACTAGCTCTGGATAAGAACAGCTGCCCGCTGAGGTCTCCGACACCCCCCCCCCCCCCCACCGTCTGGGCTCTCGCTTATGGGAATGTGGGTCCAAAGACTCGGGCTCCTGTGTCCTGGGGCAACTGTGGGTTCCCCTCCGGCCCTAGAAAAAAGGGAAATGGTGATCACAACCCCAATGAGGTTTCCCTCACCCGGGCCAGAATGTCTCATATGCAGAAATCTACCAACAACAGATGCTGGCAAGGATGTGGGCCACAAGCCAAACTAACCCACTGTTGGGGCCAATGCAGACTGGTCAAGCCACTATGGAAATCGGTCTGGAGAATCCTCAGAAACCTGAAGATAACCCTACCAGTCGACCCAGCCATCCCATTCCTTGTACTTTACCCAAAGGAATTTAAATTGTGAAACAAAAAAGCGGTCTGCAGCCTAATGTTTATTGCTGCTCACTTCACAATAGCTTAGACCTGAATCCAAGCTAAATGCCCCTGAACGGTAGACTGTTTAAAGAAAGTATGGTCTATGCACTCTTCAGAGTACTATGCCGCAGTAGGTAACAACGAAATCCAGTCGTTTGCAGCAAAAAGGAGGAATCTGAAACACATCATGCTGAGTGAAATAAGCTAGATCCAAAAGGACAAATACCAAATGTTCTCCCTGATCAGTGACCACCTGACTGAACACCAAAAAGGAAACCTGTTGAAGGGAAA